AACTTGGTATAGAGGTAAGTTGCGTTAAATTGCCATATTTTGGGACCCCCTACATGCCCCTGCTCTATGTCGGTTCTTATGTGAATCACCCTGTATACTGTCTGTAGGTTAATCGAGGAAGTAGTACATTCATTTTACTTGATTCTTTGGGATTTTTCTCCTCGTTTCTATAAAATAAAAATATTCGTATTATTTCAATATACTTTCAGTGGGACAAATCAGATGATTTGCCCTAAAATGTCACTGCGTTTAACAAATTTTTTTATCAGGGAGCTTGAAAGAGAAATCCAGTAGCTTATCTGTGACAATTTGTTTGAAAAAAATATTTGAAGGAAAGAAATATAGATATACTAGCTGACCCGGCAAACGATGTTTTGCCATAAACACTATTTCTAAAAAATATTTGTTTAGTTAAATATTCATCAACACACTTGTGTTATTTTATTTTCTACTTCTTTTTAGTTTGACTATCCATAAAATCGTGTTCCTTCAGTTTTTCAAACTACTATCCATTTTCTACTTCTTTTTGGTTCGACAATCTATCTCTTCAGTTTTTAAACTATACTATCAATTTTCTACTTCTTTTCAGTTTGGCCTCGAGAATATTTATTACAAAGCTAGTTCGTCATATTGGATCCGCCATTTTGAATTTCCTAATTTCCTAATCATCATCTCCGACCTCGAAAATCCCCAGATACCAATTTTGAATGGAATCTGACCATAATTACAAAACTCGTCCGCCATATTGAATCCACCATCTTGAATTTCCGAAATTTGACGAAAGAATCATTATCTCCGACCACGAAAACCCCCAAATATCAATTTTGAATGAAATCGGATAACAATACTCGTCCGCCATGTTGGGTTCGCCATCTTGACCTACCTGCCGAATACGCACAAAAAATTTCATACGAATCGGTCAAGCCGTTTCGGAGGAGTTCGACCACTAACACCGTGACCGGGACAGGAAAATCGAATTTTTACTTATCTTTGGACGTTTCGGGACCGAATCTGCTCCCGTTCTCAACATGTAAATGCAAAATATGTTTCTTTGAAAGTTGTGCTGCTTATAGTTTGACACTTTTCAGTGTCATACTGATGTTGGCATATGAATGAGTGATTTTAGTCTACAAATGAGTTACAGGATGTTTTCATTAATTGATCTTGAATCAATCATTTTCATGTTCAGTTTTCAGTAGTAAATACCATGTTCTATCTATTGAAATTGAAAATGGCGGATCCATATATAGAAAAGTGCCAAACTATAAGCAGCACAACTTTAAAAGAAAAATATTTTGCATTTACATGTTGAGAACGGAAGCAGATTCGGTCCCGAAACGTCCAAAGATAAGTAAAAAATCGATATATCTTCAATATTTCTATATTTCTTTCCTTCAAACATTTTTTCAAACAAATTGTCACTGACAAGCTACTGGATTTTTCTTTCAGACTCCCTGATAGAAAAATTTGTTAAACGCAGTGACATTTTGGGGCAAATCATCAACAAATATATTCAAATAATACGAATATTTTTATTTTATAGAAACGTGGAGAGAAAATCCCAAAGAATCAAGTGAAATGAACCCTAATATATATAGTTACCGTAAAGCGAGCCATTCACATACGGATATCGAAGAGACAATCATCTCACGCTCCAAGGACTGAAAGCAAATAAATCCACACACGCACACACACAGGTTCTGACCTGCCGATTTCATATCAAAACGTAATAACTGCATGTATGTGTTGAAATTGAAGGCGATCATCGATGTAACATCGAAAGGATTTTGATCTGCAAATCAGTTCGTCTGAAGGCCCAATTCATCACACACATACAGTTCCACAGCCTGCAATTTTCAAATAAACACCGAAGTGTGTGGCTGCAAAATGGTCGTTTTCGCTAGCCACACACCACATACTTCAGTTTTGCGTCATTTTTGTTCGAACATACTTATTCGACGAACAAAACAGCCCACCAACAACGCAGTCTATGTGCTCCTTTACGGGATTCAGCAAGGCAGCAAGCAAACAAATCAAGGCGGCTGACTTCGTATTTCGTATGGAGAGCCAGTGAAATAGAGATGGGAGATGAAAGAAGGCGCTACGATATCCTCGCTTTTTAGATAATGATATGCTCGCATTCCCCGCGGAATGAGCGATTTATTCAAATTAGCTGAAGGTGGCTCTGGCTATTTCTTTCTTGGAAACCAGGCGTAATCAATAAAGTGACATGAAATGAGTAAATATACTTGAAAATAAATGCATTCAGTGTAACTATCACTATGACAACAAGATTGACTTTGACATCTTCAAATTATTTTCCACCGAATATCCCTCGGAAATTGATAAATTCCTTAATGGTTTTATTACAAATTTCTTTCGGTAATAGCTTGAAGCCGAAGGCTGAAGGCGAGGAACGAATTTTCGATTGCCATAAAACTATCCCGTCTATTATCAATGTCCTATAGGGATAATACTGATAATAACTGCGAAATATCAACAGAGATGAAATGTCAAACTTTTTTCCGTCACAGAAAAAAAATACAGTAAAAACACGGGATCAGTGTGAAACCAGCCACGACTATTATCAATTTATACTCGTGGCTGGCCATTAAATTACTAAAACCTCCAAAATATTTCCATGGAAGGAACTTTTTTCCATTAATGTATTTCTCTGAGAGTATACTAACTGAATGATCTGTATATCTCACAATATTGTGTTGAGCAAGAATTCATAATTTTGAGATAGTACTATGACGTCTTCAAATAATTTGGTTGTCTCTCCCATTTCATCATATGCCGTATGAAAGATACAGAAAAATTACCAATTTCATCCAACACGCGCAATTTGAAGTTCAGGTTGAAAAAGCTTTAAATCCCCCTCATCAAATTAATTCACTATTCAAAAGTTCAGTGTCATACGAAGTCATGAACATAATTACTAATCCAGAACGGCTTCAAATCAATGTCATACTAATATACTGAATTTATTCAAACACTATTTCATCTCATTTTATGTACACCGCTTTGTAAAAGTCACCCCTATATTTTGATTTTGAGCATAGTTTTCTTAACATAAAATAATTGGAACTTGATAATTATAATTTTACATTTCCAGTTAGTTTTGTTTCATTAGTTCTCATTGAGATGATGATTTGTTGAGTGACGTGTCTAGTTTCTTTCGTGTAAGAGAATTGTAGGATAATAATTGCAAAAAAAATGGCCACTGGAGAAAAAATTCATTTCTTCTAGGTAAAATACCTTTAAATTCAAAGTAACGTTTTTCGATTACTATACAGTGTGTCCCACTTACCATGCTCACCATGGGTATCTTTTTAACGGTGAGAGATACGAGGTCTGTTAAATGACACCAAATGTGGAGTTTGTCAAGGCCAACTATAATGTGAAAAAATATTTTGATAAAATCTATTCGTTTTTGTTTTATACGCAAAAAACAGATTTTGATCATTTTCATATCTCCTCCGTAACTTCTTTATTTATGAAAATATCCAAATAGGAATTTCACATTCTCATGGCAGTTTTTCAAAGTGATTTCGGAAAAAATATAAAATTACTACCAACTCTTCTAGAATTTGAGATATCAGCACCAACTTTAGTGGTTACAAATAACTTTTTTTTCTCTCACAGATGATATGTCGCAGTAATAGTTTTGTGTTCATAACAACGGAATTATCGTCATTTATACAAAAACAAAGAATTATCTGGAAGCCGCTATCTTGAATTTATAAATTTTAACAAAAAATCATAATCTCCGACCTCAAAAACCCCCACTTAACAATTTTGAATGGAATCGGACCAAATCTTGTCCGCCATCTTGGAGCAGCCATTTTTTTCAATTTCAACAAAAATTCCATAATGTATTGTCACCGAAATTATGAACACCTGCCAAATTTCAAGTCAATCGGAGTTATGGAATTTTTGTTGAAATTTCAAAATATGGCTGCTCCAAGATGGCGGACGAGATTTGGTCCGATTCCATTCAAAATTGGTAAGTAGGGGTTTTTGAGGTCGGAGATCATGATCTTTTTATTAAAATTTATAAATTCAAGATGGCGACTTCCAAATAATTTTTTGTTTTTGTATAAATGACGATAACTCCGTTGTTATCAACACAAAACTATTACTGCGACATATCATCTGTCAGGGAAAAAAAAGTTATTTGTAACTAAGTCATAGTGAGCTATGACCTACATTTGAAAAACTAAAGTTGGTGCTGATATCTCAAATTCTAGAAGAGTGGGTATTAATTTCATATTTTTTTCGAACTCACGTTGAAAAACTGCCATGAGGATGTGAAATTTCTATTTGAATATTTTCATAAATAAATAAGTTACGGAGGAGACATGAAAATGATCAAAATCTGTTTTTTGCCTATAAAACAAGAACGAATAGATTTTATCAAAATATTTTCTCACATTATAGTTGGCCTTGACAAACTCCACATTTGGTGTCATTTAACCGACCTCGTATCTCTCACCGTTAAAAAGATACCCATGGTGAGCATGGTAAGTGGGACACACTGTATAGGCAGCTGATGCTTATTTTAATGCATTTCATGTAGTGGGCGAAATCATCAGAAATCATTGTTACGTTTTCATATAAAAGTGATGAGCTCTTGGTCCTAAGCTGTTTCACTTGCCCATCTTGCCTAATAATTTGTTGAAACAGCGCTAAAAAATTAAATCAGTCGGAAATTTAGGATTGTTTGGAGATTTTAATTATTAAAATTCTGTTAATTTCCTTTACGTCCTCTGTTCAATATGGAATACAAATTTTTCTACAGTTGTATGCGATCATATAGATATTAGTTGTTCATGAAACGTGAGCAGTATCTACTAAAACAAATGGTTCCATCTTGAAGTTGCACGCACAGATAGTTCTTTTATCAGTGTGTTTTTTTATTATTATTTTGAATTGGGGGTGACAATAATAATAATAATATGCTTTTTGTTATCATTCATTTTTTGTGCTTCACGCAGGTAGGATACGACAGACTTTTGGGCATTACTTTTGGGGACGATGCCCAAGAGAGGGCCATAGACGTGCCCGATAATTTTGTCGAAAGAAAAAAGACACCTCCGAAATACCCCACGCCGAAAATCGAAAGTGTCAAGGTAACTTTTTTGGAAATGGGTTATTGGGAAAACTAACATTCAAGCACGAAGTAGAAGTAGATACTAAAACAATAATTATTCATTTATGTGTACAGGCTACAGGGTGGAGCATTAGTGCGTCGGAGCTCGATCGAATGCTCGAGTTCTATGATAGCTAGAAACTCGATCCATAAACGGATGTGAATAAGACAACAAGGTTCATAACTAGAAATTATTGCCTGATATACAGGGGGCACCGGAAAAAATCTAGAGGGTCAGGATCACTTTTTTTGAATGGAATGCCCTGTATATTAGCACATTTTTGGAAGCATCCCTGTAATCTCCAACAACTCCTATAATACTGTTGAATATATCTCTATCATTTCAAAGTTATTAATTTTTTTGTCGAAATAGTGTCATTACTGTAGTCACAATTATGAAATTCAAGAAAGAATAATCATAATATCATTTGATGAAAAGATCCGTGATATTCATGTAGAATTTTCATGTCCTCAAATTTTACAGGGTGGCTAAAAATGATTTTTCAATTCAGAACTTTTGGAAGTGATTTTTCTCGAGTTTTTCAATATTTTTGGGCCATTTGGTGTAAAATCGAAACACGAACATCTTTTATCCCAACATCCATATTGATATTCGTAACCATTTTTGAATTATTGAACTTCGAGAATTATAGGTTGGCCATTTTCATCGATACAAATTCTCATAAAGTCCAATTAATAATGTATTAAACTTGTTTTTTTATTGAAAGAATCGATATCAGAATCCTGTAGTTTTCATTAATTCATCTTGAATTTACCATTTTCATCAAATTCGAGAAGAAGAATAATTTCCATTTTTTATGTTGAGAACGAGAACATGTTCGTTTCCGAAACGTCCAAAGCTAAGTAACAAATTTGATATTTTCTCGATATATCCATATTTCTCTTCTTCGAACATTTTTCAAAACATGGTGTCCCTGACAATCGCTTGAATTTCTTTTTTAAGCTTTCTAATAGGCAAATTTTTAATCACTTCACGTATATTGAAATGATACTCATATTTTCATTTCATAAGAACGAGAGTGATTTGGTAAAATGAATATAAAAGTGAAAACATTTCTGGAAACTCAAAACTGGCACAAATGAACAATATATAACGGATAAAAAATATTATTGAGTTCCTTTTCTGGCCTTGAGCACTATAAATGTCTCAATAATGCATCCTTCATCAGGACTAATCAGCAAATCATGTTCGATGTCGCTTAGCCCCGATGACCGATATCGATCTAAACCTGTATTTCTAATCTATCTCAGAATTCATGGTATTTATTGATTATTATATTATAGAATATAATATTTGTTCATCCAATAAACCATTTTACATTGGTATACAGTGTGTCCCACTTACCATGCTCACCATGAGTATCATTTTAACGGTGAGAGATACGAGGTAGGTTAAATGACACCAAATGTGGAGTTTGTCAAGGCCAATTATAATGTGAAAAAATATTTTGATAAAATCTATTCGTTTTTGTTTCATACGCAAAAAACAGATTTTGATAATTTTCATGTCTCCTCCGTAACTTCTTTATTTATGAATATATTCAAATAGGAATTTCACATTCTCATGACAGTTTTTCATAGTGATTTCGAAAAAAATATGAAATGTATACCAACTCTTCTTGAATTTGAGATATCAGCACCAACTTTAGTTTTTCAAATGTAGGTCATAGCTCACTATGACTTAGTCACAAATAACTTTTTTTTCTCTTAGGTACAGATGATATGTCGCAGTAATAGATTTGTGTTGATAACAACGGAGTTATCGTCATTTATACAAAAACAAAAAATTATTTGGAAGCGGCCATCTTGAATTTATAAATTTTAACAAGAAAATCATGATCTCCGACCTCAAAAACCCCCACTTACCAATTTTGAATGGAATCGGACCAAATTTTGTCCGGCCTTGTGGAAATATTCACAATTACATACAGTAGATATCTTTTTTTTTCAATTTTTCTTATAATTGATGAAATCGTCAAAGGAACTGATCAATGAGAAATTCTCTTGTCGTTTGCTTATGATACTTATTTGCGAATTTTTTCGCCCTGAACTCTGAATTCGCCCATGGGCAGTTGTCCCTTTTACCCTTTAACCCGGCCCTGTGTGTACCAAAAACGAACCATGTAGTCGAGACAAACACTTTTTTCGGATATAATCAGCGTGTTTCCGGTCTCGTCAGGTACACCACATAACAGTTTCCGTTGGTGGACAAGCCCTAACCTTTGTTTGAAAACAAAGGCGTATCGAGGCTTTTCTAACAAGTGGGAGGCTTCACAAAATGTACCTACCTGTACAATCGACATTTCACTGAAATCTTGCTTTGATTTGATGAAAGGGTGACCAGATTTTGAAAATTTAAAAAAGTACATTCAGTAGGTATAGTTCTATTGAGTAATATAAGAGTTGAAGAAAGCGCTACAGGCGGTTTTTTTTCAAATTGTTCAAGGCCAAATTCCTTTGAATGGGCTTATATCACAAAAAATTGTATTTCATAATTCGATAGAACTTACCCAAACTAGCTCACCACCGGAAACCGTTTCTTGCTGTGAGCTCCCTACGTTTTATAAAAAAATATTGAAATCCCCGATTTTTCGGACCTCTGAAAACGAGGCGATGATGTGACGTCAAAACCCTAATACTGAAACAAGACTATTCCAGACGAAGATGAATGATACATGATTTCTGACAGAGTGAATTTGCGCGAGATCACAGTTGAAAGAACTAATATACCAGTTGCCCCAGTCTCCGTCGGGCGTTTGGTATTTTCTTTCAACTATGGCGAGATGAGGTTTCTACGTCATAAGAGGGTCCATTTTCAGAAGGTACTATTATTTATGTCCAAAAATAAAACATTCCAGTTAATTTTTCGATCGAATTATGTCGTCAATCATTATTTATGTATAAAAGGATCATTATAAACATGGTTTGAGTTGAAAGTTCTACTAAGGTGTACACGCTCATTGAATACCTTCGAAAGAACTGCCGATTGGTACCAATATCATGAGTTAAAAATTAAAAATAACAGAATACCAAAAATACTTTTTTTTGTTTATTGATGATAGTAACTAAACAGGAACAAATCAGGTACATACCCATCAATACCTTATACATACCAATACATACCGAGGAAGCTCAAAACACGAATGAAAAAGAGAAGTGACATACACTAATATCTAGAACACACCAGGGTATAGAGCCATTGACATAGAGCCAGTGCCAGATTTAAGGGGGGGGGGCTATGGGACTATCAGCGCCCGGCGGGAGGCGGTAGAGGAAGGAGCAATATACTCGTCACTGACGAGGCGACATTGCTGCTTGCTTTTCTATGTCGCCTCTGAACTCGTCGCCTTTTGAAGCAAATTCGCAATTAGCGACCGCCGGCATTTGGCACCGCATCAAAAGAAGAAGGTTGTTGGGATACTGTCACAGTTTAGGGAATATTATTGATATTATAACGTTTTTGTAAAAATCATAACATTCACTAATCAAGCGTCAGCGGAGGGGTAATTTCGTGGCTCGTCGAACTTGATATCAAATAACAAAATCAGAGTTCAATATTCAATAGGTCGTTGGTAATGGTAAATATTGAAACTGAAATTTAAAAAATGAGTAAAATAGAAGGTGGTGCATTCTGGAAACGGAAAAAAAAGAAAAAACAAGAGAAGTTGGATGAAGTTGTCAAGAAATGTCCTAAAATACATTCATTTTTTCTCAGTTCAAATGAGACAGAATTAGAACTGCCAGAACCATATCCGGGAACCTCACGTTCTCAAGAAGGGAATAATGTTTTTTTAATTTTTTTATACATTCGGTGAACGGATACTTTGAATTTTGAAACTGACATTTGAAATTTTGTTTTTGGCGGCGGCGCAGCGGCATCGTTATAGTTAGCCCCCGGCGTAAGTGGGTATAAATCCGGTACTGCATAGAGCAGAAAGCACAGAAACTTCAATTGAAAGCTGGGAAATTTCGTGGAAATCTTATCGTTTATGAAGTTTTTACATTTGCCATGAATTTCCATCAATAAGTAACGGCCGAGTCAATGGGCTTATATATAAAAAAAAATTATTTCATAATTCGATAGAACTCACCCAAACTAGCTCACCACCGCAAACCGTTTCTTATTGAAATCCCCGATTTTTCGGACCTCTGAAAACGAGGCGATGATGTGACGTCAAAACCCTAATACTGAAACAAGACTATTCCAGACAGAGATGAATGATACATGATTTCTGACAGAGTGAATTAGCGCGAGATCACAGTTGAAATAATTGATATATCAGTTGCCTCAGTCTCCGTCGGGCGTTTTGGTATTTTCTTTCAACTATGGCGAGATAAGGTTTCTACGTCATAAGAGGGTCCATTTTCAGAAGGTACTATTATTTATGTCCAAAAATAAATCATTCCAGTTAATTTTTCGATCGAATTATGTCGTCAATCATTATTTATGTATAAAAGGATCATTATAAACATGGTTGGAGTTAAAAGTTCTATTAAGGTGTACACGCCCATTGAATACCTTCGAAAGAACTGCCGATTGTTACCAATATCATGAGTAAAAAATTAAAAATAACAGAATATCAAAAATACTTTTTTTTTGTTTATTGATTATAGTTACTAAACAGGAACAAATCAGGTACATACTCATCAATACCTTATACAATATACCAATACATACCGAGGAAGCTCAAAACACGAATAAAAAAGAGAAGTGACATACACTAATATCTAGAACACACAGAGCCATTGACATGGAGCAGGAAGCACAGAAACTTCAATTGAATTCTGGGAAATTTCGTGGAAATCTTATCGTTTGTGAAGTTTTTACATTTGCCATGAATTTCTATCAAGTATGGGCTTATATCACAAAAAAATGTATTTCATTAATCGATAGAACTCGCCCAAACTAGCTCACCACCGCAAACCGTTTCTTGCTGTGAGATCCCTACGTTTTTTATTGAAATCCCCGATTTTTCGGACCTCTGTCTGAAAACGAGGCGATGATGTGACGTCAAAACCCTAATACTGAAACAAGACTATTCCAGACAGAGATGTATGATACATGATTTCTGACAGAGTGAATTAGCGTGAGATCATAGTTGAAAGGATTGATTTATCAGTTGCCTTAGTCTCCGTCGGGCGTTTTGGTATTTTTTTTTAACTATGGCGAGATGAGGTTTCTACGTCATAAGAGGGTCCGTTTTCAGAAGGTACTATTATTTATGTCCAAGAATAAAACATTCCAGTTAATTTTTCGATCGAATTATAAATGTATTCATATTCAATTGAGCACATTGTATAGTGTATATAGGTATATTGTGTTACTACTCAATTCTCTGTATTTGGCATTTGACGCTGAATATACTTGCTGAAGACTGAAGAGATGCTGATAATCCTACATAGGCTTTCAATGCGATAATGGACAATGTGTGTTCCATTTCACGGTAGTTAACAGACTAGAACTAGAACAGAATTCCGTAGAGTATAGATGGTAGTCGACAACAATGAAATTATTTTGGAATGCCATGTGTATATTAGTATCGCCTGTGGTATCGCAATAACGACACATACATCGGTTTTATAATGACTTCGGTTCCAAGAATAATAATCGATTGTCACTCATTGTTTGGTTCTGATATTCACTATTTCTATACCTTGATATACAGGGTGATCCACGGAGGATGGCCTATTAGAAGTATCTGGAGAACGGAAAAACAGAACATTCTGAAAATTAGGATGCTATGATAATTGAACATTCTCTATCCGTCTAAAATATTTTAATCGATACAGTGTTCCACTTCTATCAGAAACAACTAGCAACTTCGTTATTTTAAATGGAGCACCCTGTATATCATTGCATTTATAGATTCTTCCTGAAGAGCTGATTTCATCAATGCATCACACTTGGGGTCTAGCAGGAATAATTACAGAGATAAAGGGTGCTCAAAATCGAGATTTTTTCATGTCCCTGTCTTAACTTTTGATGCACCATCTACTGACATTTAATTGGAACAGATACAGGGTGATCAGAATTCTGAATCTTGAAACACCCTGTATTTTTTCCAATTGAATTATATACAGGGTGTCTATAAAAGGTTGGGACATGGCTCGGCTGTGGTCTCCTGGGATAAAAACCAGTTGATATAAGCCAATTTACCTATATCCAGAATTGTCTCATTGAGTTGGTACAAGGAGTTGAAGTTTTTTTGAAAAAAAAATAATTTTGCTCATAAAAAGAATAGACTGACATCGATTTTCATAATTTTTGGCATGGCATGTTCTGTGACTGTAAGTCACGTTTTGAGATGTTTTTGATGATCATCAGTGACCTGCAAGTGTTTCAAACAACCATGTTACCGTACAAGTTTGGTGATAACTTTGCAGAGGTCGGACTGGAAATTTCCAGAGTTGATTTAACACAGCAACAACTGATAAATTTATACTACGCACAGGTGGAAAGTCGACTGAGGTATGGTATTTGCCTATGGGGAGACTATCCACACCTCGATCTACACTGTCGAATAATGTCTTCGTCTCTCAAAAAAAAAAAAAAAAATCATAAGGTGTACCTATTGCTGGTGTAAAAAAAGACTATTCTTGTAGAGAAATCTTCAAAAGATTCGAAATTCTCACTTGTGTAGGCCTCTACGTATTTGAAGTCTGTATCTTTGTGTTCAAAAATAGGGATTTGTTTTTCATTAATAATGATTTCCATGAATACAACACACGCCGTAAGGATGATTTACGAATACCACTCTCTATAAACGCGATATTTCACATAAAGCTCCAATTTAATTTAATTTCACATTAAATTAATTATGTTTTGAGACTAAGTTTTTCGCCTTCACGATGTTTTAATAATTTTTCCATATACACTTTGTTGCTAATTTAACTGAAGATGGCCATTTGAATGGCCGAAACATGTATCAAACCTTATTGAAGCAGGATTGACTGCCTCCTTCGACATTAAAATTGTGGAGACGACTTTGAGTTTTCTTTCTTGGTTACGTTTACGTAGTTTTATTCAGAGTGCTATGTTATTTTCTTATTGTTAATTTTTTTATGAATACCTACCGTACTACCATGTGGTTCCATCCTGACTCTTTCTTATACAATTGTATGTTGTCTCAAAGAATAAAGTGATTTGATTTGATTTGTGACCCCTCTGAACTAAACTGGGCATCAATTGAAACGCTAATAGTGAAATTTGGCATCAAGTTTGACTTCTCGTAATTTCTAAAATATTGAACGAATTTTGAATTGCCGCCCAGATTCTGAATGCCTTTTTCATCGTCTCTCGAACCGTTCCTTACAGCTTCATCTAAATTGATCAGGATCCATGATACAGGGTGAAACAAAGTTACGTGCATTTTGAAAAAAATTTCTCTGCCCCCCCATTTTGTCGGAAGACCACGATGCTCATATTTTATTCAGGCATTTCATAAATAGCAACCATGCCTCGGGATGTTTTCGAGTTTTTGCCAAAACCACTGTGGTTTCCGAAAAAAAATTTTTTTTGAATTTTTCTTAAATGGACTGATTACCTGTATCCTCAAAACGATGAATCAGTCTATTTATTGTCATGACTGACTTATTGAAAATTGAACTTAAATGAGTTTGGGTATATCCTAATCGTCGTAGCCTGAAATAATAATTATCTGTACTGAATTATAGTTTATATCACTATAGTGATCTTACCTAATGATTTTCCATTTCGGCCCGATTTGAACGAGGCATCTTTAAATTTTTCAGGACCCGAATTACACTAACGTTTTCATGAAGATTGGCAATTGATATAACCTCTATGCATATCTACATTATTGTTTCAACAATACGTTGTTATAGAAACAAGGTATCGTTGTTTGTTTTTGTTGATGAGATGTGTTGATTTACTGCTCACTAAGGTAGAAAACTTTTATCAAAGACTGCAAAGTAATAAATTATTGATTGTTTTTGAGTAACCTGTTATACATATCTGCTCCAACGCTTTCCTGAAATGCATAATAGCATCCATCCATTTATGGAACTCCTCTAAAATTATTCCATTTAAAAAAATACAAAAAAAAAATTTTTTCGTAAACCACAGTAGTTTTTGGCAAAAACTCGAAAATGTCCCGAGGTATGGTTGCTATTTATGAAATGCCTGAATAAAATATGAGCATCGTGGTCTTCCGACAAAATGGAGGGGCGGAGAAATTTTTTTCAAAATGCACGAAACTTTGTTTCACCCTGTATCACGGGTCCTGATCAACTCAGAAGGAGCTGTAAGGAATGGTTCGAAAGACGATGAAAAAGGCATTCAGATTCTGGGCGGCAATTCAAAATTCGTTCAATATTTCAGAAATTACGAGAAGTCAAACTTGATGCCAAATTTCACTATTAACGTTTCAATTGACGCCCAGTTTATATGATTCTTCGCAGCCTGGCCAGAACGGCACCAGCCCCGCCCCCTTGGCCGCCCCCGAGTCGCCCGCCCCCGCCACTACCAAGCCCGTGCCGCCGCCCCGCGACCACCTCAAGATCGAGAAGGACGGGCGGCTGGTGAACCGGGCGCCCGCCCCGCAATTGCCTGCCCGAATCGTCAACAACAACAACGTCGCCCCTGTTGCCCCTCTCACCCCCGTTGCCCCGGCGGTCGAGCCGACTAGGGAGCAGCTGGACAGCATCAAGAAGTACCAGGTGAGTTGGCAACTTTGGACACTAGTTTTGTTTCCTTACTTTCAGTGTAGTGTAAGTTACATCACCACTGGCAGTAGAGAGTTGAAGTGTTGTCATGAACGTTAACGTAAACGTAGAAATTGACAGCTACGCATGCGCATTTTCCAATTCTTCACGTTTGCGTTGTTAGTGGGCTTACGGCTGTACGTTATCTCACGTTCCTTCACGTATACCTTAAATATCAACGTACGTTAACCAAACTATACTCGAAATATGCCAGTGAGTCAAAATTATCAAATTCGAGATCACCAACGAGTTCTGCATCAAGGAGTCCTCTAATTTTGACAGGAATATATGTCCGAATCTAAACACACAACAAAAAATGACCAATACAAACCGAAAACAAAATGTACCATTACGTTATGATGACAGTGACGACCAAAGTGGCGACTTCAACTCAATTTAACGACAATACGTAAACGTTATTTTTCGTACGTTAACGTCTACGTACAGTGATTACTTCAACTCTCTAGTATTAGTTAGGGTCCCTTGATGGAAATTGACGTTAAATACATCTTAAAAGGGTACGAACAGATCATATCTGCATTATTTTTTAATGATCTAGAGACTTCAGTTTTGATCCCTGAAATTGCTGTCACGTCACATCCATGGGCGCTACAGAAAATCATTCAAAATTTTAATAATACAGGATATTTACTTGTTGAGGAAGATCATACGGCGAACGAGTTTTGTAATTATGATCTGATTCTGGAAAGGAGTATAAAATGAATAGTATTTTGAAAAACTAATGAAACATGCTTTTATGAATAGCCGAACTAAAAAGAAGTAGAAAATGAAATAAATAGAGTGTGCTGGTAAATATTTATCTAAAAGAATATTTTATAGAAATATTGTGCATACCAAAACAACGTTTTCCAAGTCAGCTACTAATCTAGTAATGATATTTATTATTATTTCCTCTCTTTGTACATTGTTGAAAAAAGAAAATATTGACAGTGTCAAATGATTTCTGAATGTTAATGATTATAAAATGCAAGAAAATAGAAAGATTTTACGATTAAATAAGGATATTATTTACTGAATACGATATTTTCATATTCTCTTTTGAAAAAATGGTGGAATGTGCTGTGTTAGGCTGTGCCAATCAGTTAGATGGCATATTCAAATTAGTAAGCTTTCCAACAGATGAAGATAAACTCAAAACATGGAAAGTCTAAGAACAGTCTCTTTTCGTCAAATATATTGAGCATTCAGTACAATTTATATGTTCCCTACCTTCCATATGGAAATTACGTATGATACGCAATGACCTCAATATAACCTAAAAACAACAAATGTCAAAAATCTAGTGTTATCCCTAAAATTGAATAAGGATGGAACTATATAACTGTTTCACAAACACTTTAGAGTGAGATGAGACGAGGATCTGTCCGTGTTTTGTGAATCAATGGAACAGCAGATTCTCTCAACATTCCAATATTTTCAAACTGCTTTTATAAGAAGTGAATTTTGTACTTACCTCACAAATTTTGCTTCAAATTAATTTTCTATAAGGGGATGGCTGATATTTCCTTTGGAAATTCAAAGAAATGAAATCGCCATTGATATCAGAATTTCCGCAATTCATTAAACAGCAGGACGTTATCATTTATGCTTTTTTCTCGAAAGTTTATGGAATTATATTTCAATTCGGACATTCATGAAATTTATTGCCAAATTCAAACAATTTTGAATGAAAAATCATGGAACGACTAGTCCGCGAAATGAAAAAAAAAAAACCAATGACTACGTTCCCGGATGACCTACTTATAGAGGTGTATGTTCCTTCTTCACAAAATATTAACAAAAAATCGATACCAAGTCAAGCTGGTTGAAGAAAAAAACAATGACTACGTTCCCGGATGACCTACTCATAGAGATGTACTTGCAAAGTGCAATTCTTCTTTAAGAAATACAATAGACGAATACAGGGTAGCTCAAAATTCAGAATTATGAACAACCCTGTATTCAAATTGAATATCAGTAGATAGTTATTCAAAAGTAAAGATAGACACATGAAAGCCGGTTTGAGCGATAATGAATAGTTTCGACCGAGGTTTCGACACAAAAAAATTCTAAAGTTAAAAAATCTCGATTTTGAACACCCTATATCTCTGTAATCATTTCAAACTGTGACAAGTTTCAGCTCACACTGTACAATGAGGGGCAATATTATGGAATAAATTCATTTTTACGAGAATAGGCAACTTTTGAGACAAATCCCGAAACACGTCGAATTTTATTTCCAAATTATGATTTTGTGGCAGATATGTCATACTAGTGACGTCATCCATCTTTGCGTGATGACGTAATCGATGATTTTTTTAAATGAGAATAGGGGTCGTGTGATAGCTCATTCAAAAGGTTATTCAATTCTCTATTCAGTGATATGAACATCAACATGATTATTTATACAGGGTCGCCAAAAAAATATTTAATTTGTAAATGAAATTAATTTTCACAAAAAGAAGTATTATAATTTATTAAATACAAAATTACATTGTACTACTGTCGGAAAACAGAAAAAAAAATTATTTGACAAATAAAAATTGCTTTTCGCTTAAATTAAATGTTCAAATTGCCACCCACCGGCCTCTTGGCAGTAATGGAACCGACGAATACATTCTTCTTGAACATTGTGGATCATTTCTGGAGGTATATTACGAATTTCCAATCTAATTCTATTTCTTAAATCTTGTAAATTCTGTGGTCTATCGATGTAAACTTTTGATTTTAAGTAACCCCATAGGAAAAAATCAAGTGGTGTAAGATCTGGAGATCTTGCGGGCCACTCTATTGTTCCCCGTCGACCAATCCATCTCCTAGGGAAACATCTGTTTAAAAAATCACGAACAGGACGTGCAAAGTGCGGAGGTGCACCGTCTTGCTGAAAACATATGTTTTCATTTGGCGAATTACGATCATTTTCATTTGGAAACATGTCTGTAAGGGCGGGTATAAGTTCATTTTGTAAAAAATCAAGATATATTTGCCCCGTAAGAGACCCATCGAAGAAAAAAGGACCTATAATTCTATCCTCGACTATCCCTGCCCACACGTTTAGTTTTTGAGGGTGCTGAGTGTGTACCGCAGTCATCCAATGGGCTTGACTCCAATATCTGCAGTTTTGCCGATTCACTGTTCCATTTAAACAGAAGGTTGCTTCATCAGAAAAAAGGATTTCACGAATGAAGCGTGGATTTTGATTACATAAATCTTGCATTACTTCACAAAACTGCATTCGGCGATCTGGATCATCCTCATTGATTTCGTGGACATTATGAATTTTATACGGATGATATTTCTCTTTTTTCAGCACACGTAAAACAGACCTTTTAGAAATGTTTGTATCAGCTGCAATTTGCCTAGAATTAATTTGAGGATTCTCTGCCACACTTAAGGTTGAGAAACGCGACAATTCTCGCCTATACCTGAGGTCCGGGGGGGTTAGGAAGAGATAGCAGTGGGCGGTTACAAAACAGTCATAAATCAACAAGCATCCTTTTTAGAAAAGGACAACTCACCCGGTTCGTCAATTAGTCGGGGTGATTACCGCGTCCGAATATTTATTTATATTGCCAATAATCTGCCTAGCAGATTCCTAGCGAAATGTATTCTACCTATATTCATCGGGTAATCCGGTCATAGAATCTAACTTGATAACACCTTGATTGTGTTATATCCTTGGTTATATCCATTACGTTTACATATGTTATGAAGATTTACAACACTCTTCATTGGTCGAGAGGTGTGGAAAAATTAGGATTTTAAAAGCCTCAAGCCATAGCGCTGCTTTTGAAAATCCGATCTTGAAAAACCAAGAAGCAAACGAAATGACTCATCAGATACTATGAGTAGGCTTTAATCATTATTTTCTTGAATTTCAACTGTATCGTCAGTTAAAGTTAACTTTTCTGTTATATTATACAGGGTGATTTACGTAGGCGCAAATATCATCGACCAAATCGTGCGTATTTGTGAGAATGTAGAGCAACGGCTCTTGACGTCGTGTATAGACATCGATCGTTATTTCGAGCTGCTTTTTTTGTGTGGTTTGTTGACAGATAGATCTAGGTTGGATACTATTTGGAAATTGGTTATTTCATGTAGGTACACGTATTTTTTTTATTTGCCAAATTGACTAATTTTGAGCACTTTTCGAGAACGTTTTGTCCACTCTTTCTTTAAAAATTTCGAAAAATGAGATAGTATTCAACCTAGCTTGGTCCTTTGGCTAGAGCATGAATCGAAAAAATTCTGAAAATATTGAATGGTTTCGAAATGGGAAGTCTAGAGCGAGAGCGCTGAATTTGTTATTTTGTGCGGCTCATTGCTCACTCTTTAGTGATGCTGATCTATCAGACAGAGTTGATGTCATTGCTTGAAATTTTATATTTTATGAGAGATGAGAATTTGTGAAATAATAACAAAATGAAGTCATTGTGATATCAAACATAGTAAAACGAAAGCAATTTTGTGTTATAGCCGTCAAAAAAAATCAGTATCTTGGTTCTTTGAAAAGCATTAGATACTATGTTGCTTTGAGCACAGCTGAAGTGGAATATAAAACAGCAGCAGCAGTAGCGCAAGAACTTGTGAATTGAGAGGTATATTGTGTGAGGTCAAGAACATGGTACGGTGCTCTTTATAGAAACGGGTTGAACTCGATGATATGCGGCAACATTTCATCAAATGCCTGATTGTTAAAAATGTTATGATGTGGATTAAGTTAGCACAAATTGAAATATTGTTGATTATTTCACCAATTCCTCATTGGAAGAGAAAATTTTGAAATTCAGTTTCAGCTGAGAATATTACAAAATAGGCGATTTCCTCGATTCATAGTACATAGCTTTGATTTCAAAACTTACCACTTAGCCTTATGATGTGCGATGATAACAATTATGGAAAAAAATAGGTTGATTCAGATATTGAGGAGGAAATAAAATACTAGTATCTAT